AACGCCTATGTTTATTAGAATTTATTGCAATGTGCCGAATAGCTTTTACCGTCATTTCTGTCGGCGATGCGGCTAATGTTCTCGTTTTCATTAATTCTAAACTTCCCGTATCATATTCCCCAACATTTTTAAGTGCGCTCGTACAGTCGTCACACATTTGTTAATAATGTTATTGGAATACACTTCGCACGGTACAGCTGCAACTGGCCTTTCGGTTAGTAACCAAATTAATGTCCACATCCTGTTATGGGACTTCCCAAATAGTCATTTATTTCCTGGTGGTTATTATTCACCAACACGCGACACCCTTCGGTTGCCAATAAGACGATCAAAACGGATTTTGCTTGCTTGCTGATTCGCAGTGATGTTCTGCGCACTTCATTCGACGGAGGGTGGACTGCTTATACGGGCGCTGAGACACTCCAGCCGTCGTCCGTTTCGCTATAGCCAGCGCTTGCTCTTCTGCTTTCTTCAGCGGCCGTTTTCTGCATCCGTACATCATAGCCTTCATTACATTGTTATTGAAGAAGGCCTACACAGCCCTTTTAATTTGACATATTGAAGAAATCGATGGTTCTTTGAAATTTGCGCCATCGGCAGTTCTGCTGTTTGCGCTCTGTGACTGGGAATTGTCGCGCACATTTATTTTTTGCTAGTACAGTCTCAGTGCCGTATGACTGCGAGTACATTCGATAATCCTATTTTACTTTTTGCGTAGAGCTTCTGCTTGATGCCATTCATTCCATGAACCTGTTTGCATTCAGAACAATGTTATCCATGAAGCATGGATGGCTCAGATGCTCAAAATTGATGCTCGAAACTACGGTCCCCAGTCAGTTTGGTAAATATTACCATCTCGAGACTGGCCATGAAAATCTTACAGGGCCGCAGGCCACTCCTCGCCTTCCCCTTCCTCTTCCTCCATCCGCCTTAGATCAATGTACGGACTGAAATGTGAAAAAACTGTTGAGTCTGCTAAACACAACCTTTGCTTTCTTCGGTTTTGCACATTATTCATAACTGCAAGTCTTCGTAGCACAGTTTTCATCGATATGCCATCAAAATAGATGAATAGGGGACAGAGAGTAAGTTTATACTTCTTTGCCTCTTTACGTTACTACTTGCTCCGATATCGAGTTTTTTTTTACCTCGGCTGCTGCTCACTGAACATTCGTGCTAGTCTTTTATCTAAATCTCCTATAAACGACAGTGTGTACGTGTTTTTGCAGTTTTTTGACATTTTGGCGAATCGAATTATCTGTTTAGTGGCGGTGTACTTATCAAAATGGTTGTGCTACGGTTACTGAGCAATTTGCAGGTTAGGAGGCGGGATACGGTGGTGTTGGCAAGAGAGAGGATCTCGTCCTCAACGCCC